AATAAAGGTAGATGATTACAAAAAGCGCTATTAGTCTTTGAGGGAGACAAGTTGGTGAACATGACATGAAGAGCTACCTGAACGCTAGGAAAGATGCCACAGCTGGGTTTTTTAAACCACAAACAAGATGGGGTAAGCACTGGATGCTAGCACGTGCTCACACACGTTCACCAAGAACGATGCAAGCCTGACTATCTTTGCAGTGGGTTGAATTGTGGTCTCCAAAAAAAGATGTGACCATGTTCTAATCCCCAGAATCAGCAAATGGATCTTATTTCTAGAAAGGGTCTTCACAAGGGCGCCTGGGTGGCTCAGGTGGTTAAGCAACTAACTGCCTTGGGCTCAGGTCATGATCCTGGAGTCTTGGGATCGAGTCCCAAATCAAGCTCCCAGCTTGGTGGGGAGTCTGCTTTCCCTCTGACCTCTCGCCTCTCATGCTCTCTCTCTCTCTCTCTCTCAAATAAATAAGATCTTTAAAAAAAAAAAAAAAAGGGTCTTCGCAGTATAACTAAGTTAAGGATCTCATGACGGGACCCGTCCTAGATTTCGGGTGGGCCCTAATCCCAATGACAGCTGTTCTTCTAGGAGAAAGGTAGAGGGAGATTTGAGACTCCGATGGACACAGGGCCGCATGCAGGTGAAGGAGGAGTTGACGGTGAGGCAGCCACGAGCCAAGCCCAGAGCCACAGGTGGAAGAAGGAAGGATTCCCTTTCGGAGGCGGGTGTGTCAGACCAACACCTTGACGTTGGCCTTTCTGGCCTGCAGAACTGTAAGACAACAAGCACCCTCCCAGCAGCCCGAGGAAACCAATACAGTCCCCTTTCCCTTTGATGACAGACAAAAGTTTACAGGACATGAGGAATGCAAGAGAAATAGAATGCCTGGATTTTTGCACGGATCCTTAATGCCCTTGTGGGGAAAGTTGGATAAGCAACTACACCTCTCTCCTGGACTGAATTTTGCGTGAGACTTAACACATTCAGTCTGGGAGAGATTACTGCTCAGTGAAATCCAGCTGCTTTCCACCAGAATGCAAGTTCCTTGAGAAAAAGCAGTTTTGTCTCTTTTGTTCAATGCTGTATCCCCATGCCTTGTGGCCAGAAATAGTTGACTTGACTGACTTTTCTGAGCACCATCAGGCAGAAGGCTTATCAGCATGGAAGGGTGCACTCAGCAGGCTTATGTTCCTCAAACTCTGTACATGCTTAAGGAAGTCTTGTCTTCAGACCTGGCCCTTTGCTGGTTCCTGGGAGCTGACCAATTGTCTGATAAGAGCGTTTTTGCATCCCTAAGGCCTTGAGCCAAGCCGTACTAAGTTTGCCCAGATTATTTATAGCAACAATGTGATTGATGGTCAATATCTACTTTTTTCCTGGGTGCCTAGAGCTTCAATAACTACGGTCAGTCTGTATGTCTACATAATGCATTTCTCAGTAAAAACCGTGGACACCCAGGCTGGGGTGAAATTCCATGGTTGGCCAACACCCCACATACTGTCACACGTCGCCGCTGGGGGAATGAAACGCATCCTATGCAATTCCACTGGGAGGGGACATCTAGACTCTGACACCTGGTTTCCTCCAGGCCTCCCTTCCTGCACTTTTTTCCTTCACGGCTTTTACTCTGTATCCTTTTGCTATGGTAATCTGTAACCGTGATGGTGACTTCATGCTGAGTGTTGAGGCCTGTGAGAGCTTTTCGTAAACCATCAAGCCAGAGGGTGGTCTTGGGGACCCCTGACACGGTCTAAAAAGATAGTCATCTAAGGGAGCCTGGCAGGCTCAGTCGGTACAGCCTGCAACTCTTGATCTTGGGGTCATGAGTTCAAGCCCCAAGTCAGGTAAGAGTGCTTAAATGAATAAAACCTTTTATATGTTTTTTGATTAAAAAAACTTTTAAAAAAACAATCTATTTATTTATTTGAGAGCAAAAGAGAGAGAGGGAAAGCACAAGCAGAGGGAGAGGGAGGAGACTCCCCGCTGAGCAGAAAGCCTAGCTCCCAGCACCCTGAGGTCACGACCTGAGCTGAAGGCAGCCGCTTAGCAGACGGAATCACCCAAGCACCCAAACCCTTTAAAAAAAAAAAGGAAAAAGAAAGAAAAAAGAAAAGATACTTCTCTAAAACTGCGATATCAGGGTTTTCACCATATACACAGAAACTAACCAACTCATTACCTGTGTGTTTTCATCTTGATCCAGCTTCTCTTTTCTTTTCTTATTTCTGCTGTGAAATTCTATCACTTCTACTGGCTCTCTGGGGTTCTTCAGGGTTGGGGGAGATACCGCAGCACTAGGGGCTTCCGGTCCTGAAGGGGAACCAGTGGGGGTCACAGCAGGGGCACGCCGCAGCTCTTCTTGGAGTTCCTTGAAGAAGCTGGAGGCACTCTTCCTTTGACCTCTTCCAAGGGAACCAGGTAGGGGAGCTGGCTCTGCTGCCGCGACCTCCGGCGTCTCGGCACCTCTCTTCTTGTATTCTCCTCTCTTCCTGATCCTTTTCTGTTCTGCTTCATCTTCTGTCTCCTCTGTTTCTTCAAACACAGAGCAGGAAAATAAACAGCTTTGGTTTTATCAAATTGTCAAATCATGTGAATGTGTCTGTATGTACGCCACGGCTATCAACACCCAGAAATACAAAGAAACAAAAGATTTCTTTTTCTTCAAATGGGGTGATTTTTGCACAATTCTGGGGTAGGGGTATTTTTATTTTCTTTTTTAATTTTAATTCAATTAATTAACATATAATGTATTATTGGTTTCAGAAGTACAGGTCTGTGATTCATCAGTCTCATATAATACTCAGTCTCATCACATCACATGCCCTCCTTAACACTCATCACCCACTTACCCCATTCCCCCAATGCCCCCTCCAGTAACCCTGTTTGTTTTCTGATTCTCTTACGGTTTGTTGTATTTGCACAATATGTAGAATCCAAGACGCAACATCTTTTGCTAGGTAACTAACTATTGTCGTGTCTGACCTACGGCACAATTACTTCAGCCCTGACCTCAGTCCATACTAAGAGCAACCTCAAGGCAACAGTCTCCAGGAAACTGGCAATCCCCACTGGCTCAGGCTTTGTGCGAAAAATGTCTGCCACTACAGCTGATGTTTTATTTTTTAATACTCTCTAGGGTTGCGGGTGGGTATTACAGTCTTCCCATTTTTTTTTCAGTTATGAATTAGGATGAACCTACGACAAGGGGTTCAATGTGAACACATTTATTTTCTACGAAATACCTGTATCGCCTCTATGTTTCACCTGTTCAATTCTGACCAGCCACCTGAAGGCTCTGAATTCCAAGTGCACCGCAAGTATCACAGCGCTTTCTAAATACCGACTGATCATTTCTGTTTACTTATATAAAAGGTACCTAAACTTTGGCATCGGGCACCTAAAAATGGGTAGTTACGGCCCAAGCCTTCAGAGCTCCTTAAATAATTTCAAGCCTGTGCTAACATAAACTATATTTAGGATTTGGCAGAATTGTCTCTTCCTCTAGTTTTTAAACTTCTCAAGGCCAGAGACTAAGTCTTCTCTGTCCTCTGATATTCCCAAGGGGGTAGAAACATTGTGTCCACAGGACAAGTCAATACAAGGGGAGGGGCAGGGGCTGGACAGTCTGGAGACTGGAACCTACGCTCTGCAAATTAACAGCTAGATGAATTTTGGTAAGCATTTTAACCCCTAAGGCTTGTTTCTACATTTGTAATAAATGGGATTAATGACTATGTATTTCACCAGAAGTGAAGATTAAATGAGTAAATACATGAAAGACGGGGACTATATGGCAAATTCTCCATACTTTTTAGCTATTATTTTTTCTGTGTAAGTGAGCTTAGAATCTTTTTTTTTTAAGATTTTATTTATTTATTTATTTGACAGACAGAGATCACAAGTAGGCAGAGAGGCAGGCAGAGAGAGGAGGAAGCAGGCTCCCCGCTGAGCAGAGAGCCCCATGCGGTGCTCGATCCCAGAACCCTGGGATCATGACCTGAACCGAAGGCAGATGCTTTAACCCCCAGAGCCACCCAGGCGCCCCGAGCTTAGAATCTTGAGCAATGGCTCCCAACTACAATAGCTTTCGCAACAGCACGTTACAAATTGAAGAAACGTTTGCTCCTTAAAAACACCAATGCCCAGGCTATCTCTTGCCTGAGCAAGGGATGTCACCTAGCCTGGACCAAATTCTTGGCAGTGTGTGGAACTGTCCTTTCCTACTAACGTGCCAGGCGGTTGCCAATCTCAAATAACCGTTTTTCTTTCCTTCACCCCAAACAAAAAGAGAGGACGGCCAACTTAGTGGAAGGAAGTCCGCGGGGGAGGAACGCACTGAAGGTTGGGGGTCTACGGTGACAAGGTGGCACCACGGCACTAGGGTCACGCGGGGCTGGGAGGGCGGTGTGGGGAAGCGGGCTTCCCAGACGGCCGGGAAATATCCACGGGGTGGGGAGGGCTGCGTTCGGGAGCCCAAGGTCCTGCGCGCATCACACCCTGCAAGCCTGAAAGCCTCGGCGCTTCCTACGAGCAGCCACGCCGGCGCCCACACTCAGGCACCGCTCCGGAGGCTCGGTCCAAGAAGAGCACCGACAGAGCCCGGCCGTGGGGCGCGGGGAAGGGGACCTCTGTCGGAGGCGTGTGCTGCACCAATCCCGGGAACCAGGTCGCAAAGCTGAGGGGTGCTCCACGTGCAAGGGCCGAGGACGGCCCAGTCTCGAAGGTACAGCAGACCCTCAGCGGCCAGTCCGCTTCCCACGTGGGCCCCGAGGCCCCGCACTCACCCAAATCGTAAAGGTTCCGGAGCAGGGCGTCCAGCAGCGTCTGCGAGCCGGGAAGCGCGCGGGCCCCCAGCCCCTGCTCCTGAGCCATCGGGGATGGGGGTGGGGGGCGCCGCCGCGGTACGGCCCACAGCCCGCGGGGCACCCACACTTCCGAGTTCCGACGCGCTGCGCTCGCGCGTCGCAGGTCCCGGCGCGGCTTCCGTCCTGGTTAAGATGGCGGCGCCCGGGGTCCTGTGGAGCGGCCGTAGAGGGTGCCGCCGCCCTAGGCGAGGTCGGGCCGCCCAGCGCGGAAGAACCGCCCCCAGCAGCAGCAGCACCACCGCCTAGCAAAGAATTTCAGGCCCCGCCCGGGACGGCAGCCGCACCATGGATTCTTCTAGTTCATCCAACTCTTGTTTCTCCGTCGGCTCCGCCAGTCCCGGCGCTGTCGTGCTCCTCTACTCGGTAGGCGCCCAGGGGAACGAGGCCCGGGGCGGGGCCGCGAGAGAGGACACCCCCACCCCCAACCCCGCTCGGTCCCGGCCTCCCACGGACCACGACCCCTGGCCCGAAACAGTGGGTCCCGGGGCCGCCGAGGAGGGGTTAGGTGGTTGACTTGGTTTCCAAGGCAACGGTGTCTCGCCGCGTGTGTAAATGCGTGTGTGCTTTTAGAAGTTTCTATGGGCGATGGTTCCTCCGGTTCCTTTCCACTCGCTCCTTCTCGTTCCCTCTACCACGCACGGGGCCTTCGGAAAGCCCGTGGTACAGGAATGAGGCGTGCGAGTTGGATCTCCGTCTGCAGCGTGGGCTGCCTTTTGGTTAAACCTGAGAAACCTGCGGGTCTGACCTGGCCTGAGCTTCATCGGCGTGTGGCTCCCCACCCCGCCCTTTTGTTGCTGCCGTTAGGTTCCTGGGAGAAGAGTCTTTGGGTGGTATGTGGGCATAGAGTTTGTAAGACGTGAAGTTTTTAATCTAGGAAGATTGGGAACTTCTAGAAATTTTTATTGCGTTTGTCTTCCATCCGTACTTTTCGCGAAAGTCATTCTGGAAGACACCTGAGGCCACCCAGCCTCTCCCAACTTGCCTTACAACCCCCAGCCCCGTCCTCCCTCTCCTGATTTTAACTGATCTTTTTCGCCGCCGCAATGTTGGTCGCTCACAATTTATGTGAAGAAATTATGAGGTGAACCCTTTGTAGTTCTCAGGGTTGCACAATTATGGGGGAACTGATCTTTTTCTTTTTAACCACTAAATTAATTTTTATCTACTTTACAAGGAAATAAAAGAATGCATTTTCAAAGCATGTTACTATGTCCTGCAGGTTAGTGCCAGTTTCTGACTTTAATGTTAATGTGTGTAAGAAGGTCATAGCAGGGAAAACACGAAACAAGATAGACAAAAAACTCGGTTTCAAGAGAACCAATATATACGCTGTATATCAGGGAAACCGAAGTTTCTCCATGTTCCAGAGAATACTGGTGTCTCAGTTTGTTTCCTTGATGTGGAGAGCTCTGGGCCTATAATTGCTGTTAACTGTCCACTTCTGTAGGGTTAGTACTTTAACCTGTCTCCTCATCGACCTTCTTATTCCACACCTCTGTAGTAGAACTATTTTGACCTCATTTTCTGACTCTGGTATTCCAGAGCTGACGTGTAGGGAAGCAGCTTGCTGTGTACATCCAGTAGCTTTTTCAGCCCTAAACCGGTTTGTGAGTTGACTGCAACTTTGCACCTGTGTGTTAAAGGAAAGAACTGGTTTTTTACTTCCCTGTTTACTCCTGGTTCTTTCATGATAACACTTTTGCCAACTTTCTCACATGAAAAGTTAAAGCAATTGTATTTGAGCTTTTTCTGCTTCTGAAGCTGGACAGAACCCTCACTACTGCCTAGTCTACTTTCATGATGACCTGAACTTTTTCTTAACTAGTTCAGGCTGGCCTTACTTCCTCAGCCACACTTACTGTACAATACTCCCATCTAATATGAGAGTAGTGCTCAGAGATATTTTAAGATACTCCTGATTGCAGGAAACATTACTGCACTCGTTACCTGTAGCATCCTACTCATAATTCTCCACTCCCAAGATGTGGATGTGAAAGATCCACCCCATGTGTCCTTGGACTTGAAGTCACGGCAATAAATAGTTAGAATTGAGATAAGGGCAATGACCAAATCACGCACAGTATGTTGTTGGAGGAAAGAGAAGGAGCACCGGACCTGTTCCAGGCTTCAGAGAAGGCTTTTAGGAGAAGGTGATACCCAAGCTGAGTTTCTGAGGTGTGACTGGGAGACGAGGGAGGAGAGGAAGACTGGCCCAGGCATCCCTGTAAGAAAGCCAGTCCTTTGCATGTTTGGGAGAACCAAGAGGTTAGGTAAGGGTCAAATAAAGGAGACATGAGAAACAAAACTAAAGAAGTAGGCAGAAGGTACTTCCTAAGGGCGTTTTATATACCAGGTTTATACCCCTTAAGGATAAAGTCTTCACTTTCTGAGGGAACATTTCAGGATGATCAGATTTGTATTTTTGAAAGTGTAAGAAGACTAGGTTTCCGGAGTGGTTGTTTGTGTGGATAACCTTTACTTGAGCACAGACTGTAGAAGGAGAATCTGATTGGAGAAGGGAATCTGATGCCAAAAGCGTGGAGATCAGCAGAACACTACTGTAGTAATTCCAAGAGGTGATGAAAGCCTGAGGCAATGGCAGTGAGCTTGGGGAGAGGGGAGATGGATGAGTGTGTGTGCTATTTAGGACAGTGGAAGTGCCGTGACTAAGAGGAGATTTCTGTGATTTGGCCTCTGGGTGGATGTTGATGCCTTTTGCTGATAGGAAATCTGGGGATAGGAACAGGTTTAGTTGGGGTAATATAATAATTTCAGTTTGGGATGTGTTCAGTGTGAGACGCCAGTGGTAAAATGAATGATTTTTAACTAACGGATTATTATGTTATGGACCCGATACATCACAAAATGTGGGGGAGACGTCCAGATAGAGTTAGAAATATGGTATCAGAGCAAACAAGGCCTGGCTGAATCTATGGATTCGTCAGACATCAGCAAGTAGATTGTATGAGAAGCCATAGGTCTGCCGGAAACCTTTCCATGAGACCACAGAATGAAAAAGAAGAGTGGGGCTGGAGAATTACTGGTATATCCAGAACCCAAACTATGATTTCCTGAATGAATGAAAAATCTGGACTCCTTACAACATCTTACAAGACTACGTAATTGCTACCTCCCTGATTTTACCAATCTTGCACACTGGGCTTCAACCACACTGGCCTTCTGTTTCTCAGACAGTGAGCCTGCTCTCTCAGGAGGGCACACCGTTCCCTCTGTGTTTTCCCAGAAATTGGCATTGCTGCTTTCCCCTCTACCTCCCCACCCCCCTTTTTTTTTTGAGGTCACAGCTCAAATATCACCTCACGAAGAGGCCTTACCCAATCATTCGATCTAAAGTAGCTTTCCAGTCATTCCTTCTCGTTACTCTATTTTCTTTATATTCCTTTTCCAGGGTTGTGCTGCTCTCAAAGCTCATTGTTAATTTTCCATGACGTTTGTGAGCCCGTTGTTGGAACACAGCCGCTATTAAAGATTAAAGATTAAGTTTTACAAATTTACAGTTAAAGAAATTGTTAAAAACAAAAGTAACAAATACTCAAAACTCAGCACTTCCTAATTATTTTACTAGATTTTGCTATTATCTATGCTTTTGAGGTTATTTATGTCCGCGATACTGGGAGATGGAAATCCTATGTAATCATGGCTACTACACAGCTCTCCCCAGCTCCTTGTTCAGTGGAGGTCACGTTGGTAGCTTGAAATCTGCCATGGTGGGAGTGTAAATGCCACCGAAATTGGCGAGTGCTATAAATCAGGGCTCTCACGTAGTTAAACACTCACCAGCATGCTACCGCTAGTATGCCTAAGTAAACCTTATTTGTGTCTGTCTTTCCTTAAGGGAGTGTAGGCTCCTTCAGTACACATTCTTTATTTAAGTTTTTCTTTTTAAGATGTTATTTATTTATTTGACAAACAGAGGTCACAAGTAGGCAGAGAGGCAGGCAGAGAGAGAGAGGAAGCAGACTCCCCACCGAGCGGAGAGCCTGATGTGGGGCTCGATCCCAGGACCCTGGGATCGTGACTTGAGCAGAAGGCAGAGGCTTTAACCCACTGAGCCACCCAGGCGCCCCTTCAGTACACATTCTTTGTCTGCTTTGTTCATGCTTTATTCACAGCCTGTGGAATAGTGCCTGGTACATTGTGGGCTCTCCGTAACTCTGTTGAATGAATAGAGCCTCCAGGGCTTCAAAAGAGAGGTACGAGGAGAAGCCTGTTTACTCGCACATAAGGAGGGGGCTGCTGTAAAAAGTAAGAGAGAGAAACAAAGCGGGGAAATAACCTAAACCTTTTTTTTGGGGCTCCTCTTTGTATTGTCCTCCTAGATAAGTAGCCTTGTAAATATATTTATCTTGTGATGGTAAATACTTCTCCATCATGGTTTCGGGAAGGCCAACAATGAGTAGTTAACACTCAACCCTAGCTGCATGTAAGAGTCACTGGGAGTACTTTTAAAAATCATTCTAATGCCCAGGTACCATTCACAGACCAAATTAATCAAGAATCTCTAGGGGCACCTGGATGGCTCAATCATTTCAGCGTCTGACTCTTTATCTCAGGTGTTGGTCTCAGGGCGTGGAGCCTACTTAAAAAAAAAAAAAAAATCTCAAGGCGTCTGGGTGGCTCAGTCATTAAGCATCCGCCTTTGGCTCAGGTCATGATCCCAGGATCCTGGGATGGAGCCCACATCGGGCTCCCAGCTCGACCAGGAACCTGCTTCCCCCTCTCCGCTTGTGTTCCTTCCCTCACTGTGTCTCTCTCTGTCAATAAAATCTTAAAAAAAAAATGTGAAGTTTGAGAAGGTTCTTGAAACTTAGAATCAAGAGCATAGTATGTTATAAGGACTTGCTGTTTTCCACCAGAATTTGAGCAGTTAGATTTTTCCCACGTATATTCTCTATATATGTGTTGATGTTTGCATATTCACATGTTTTACATGCTACCCTTTTGATATTGAAACTCACAAATGGTCTTCTGTTACTATTCTTTTTTTTTTTTTTAAGATTTTATTTATTTATTTGACAGACAGAGATCACAAGTAGGCAGAGAGGCAGGCAGAGAGAGAGAGGGGGAAGCAGGCTCCCTGCCGAGCACAGAGCCCGATGCGGGGCTCGATCCCAGGACTCTGAGATCACGACCTGAGCCGAAGGCAGAGGCTTTAACCCACTGAGCCACCCAGGTGCCCCTTCTGTTTCTATTCTTATTAACCTGGTCATGTTCTCAGTTTAACATTCTGTATCTTTTTCCATTACTTCAACATATAGTCGTTCGGTTACGCCGTATTCCAAATGCAGCTTGGTGTTGGGAGATACAGAGAGGTCACATGTTTCCCATCTTCAAGATAATTGCATCTCAGGGAGGCAGACATGCAAATGATTGCAGGGTTATGACTACATACCCTAAAATATGTAGGTAGTAGGCAAAGACATTCTAAGGAGAAAGGCAGAGTGCATCCTTGTGGGCAGCTCAAGGAGGGTTTTCACAGCAGGGATGCTTGAGCAAGGATGACAGAGGAACAAAAAGGCCTTCAGGGCCCAGAGATGAGCAGGGACCAAGGCCCAGAAGCATGTCCACAATGGATTGTATTAGGGAAAGGTAAATCACTTGCTATCGAGTAGACCTTGAGCATGGTGGGCAGTGAGGCCAGAGAGGGAAGGACAAGGACAAGGTCATAGAGTTTCTTGTATGATACCAGAAGTGGCTGGGGCCTTAATTCTGAAGGAGGTGGGGAGTCATTGAAGTATTTTAACCAGGGAACAATTTGGTCAGAATTGTGTTTTGAAAAGAGCACATGGCAGCATGGAGGGTTGATTCAAAGGGGCAAGGAGTGAGGGGGTTAGAGTCATAAAGTACGCAGGCTAGACCTGGGACCGAGGAGTAGTCCTGCTACATCCTGAAAGGCCACCTGGACAGGATTAGATGGATCATGTGTAAGGGTGAGGGAGGAGGGTCAGGGAAAGGCAAAGGGATGTATGTGGCATGGCGGTTGCTGAGATTTCTGGGAAATAATCATGTAGGATCATGCAGAGGAGAGGTGAGTTCAGTTTGGGAAAGGCCAAAGGTGAAGCGTTTGCAACTAAATGTGTCTATCAGGAGCTCACATGGGTGAAGAGAACAGAGCAGGAAATTCAACAGCGTGTATAATTAGTATCTAAAGCCAGCGGAGTAGGTGCGAGGACTCAGCACAGTGTATGAAGATGGGAGGGTTGGAGATGTTACCATGAAGGGAAGTGGGAGGAAAGAAGACATATTTTAGTTTTGGGGGGGTTAGTTTTCCCTTCAGGTTGAGAATCACTGGTTTAGGGCAATGAGGTAGATCTGCTGTGACAGGAGTCATGAATGAATTAAAAACCAAAGCAGGAAAATTTCAGGATGGTTGGAGATGGGGAAAGGAAGGAGCCTTTGAGAATGGTGTCAGGCTGGAGGGAGGTCTAGGAAGTTGAAGACTAGAAAGAGACCAGGGTTTAATGATTAAATTTGAAAGAAGTAATAATGTGTGTTGCATTTTCTTCTAATAGCAACGCATGAAAAATAATTCACATGTCCATTATTAAAAATAATGCGGTGGAAGGAACTTAAATGAAAGGGAAGCATTTATAACATAAAGTGGAAAAATTACGTGGGCAAATCAAAATGTATGTGTGTCAGGGGAGGGAGTGTGTCTACATGCCCAGAAAAAAAAAGCATTCACTAAAATGGACCCTGGGTCATTGGACAATAGGTGATTTTAATTTTCTTCTGTGTGCTTTACTGTGTCTTCCAGATTTTTATAATGAATATATAGCACTTTGGTAATTAGAATTTTTTTTTTTTTTATGAAACCCTGTACCTGTTTAAGATAAAATAAAGAAGTAAAAGTAACCTGATTGCTAAGCATTTTTCCCTAGTAAGTTACAATGCAGGAAAGATGTTAAGTTCCTAGGGCCTGCCCAACCCCAGATGGAAGGCAGCCTTGTGTCAGCAGAACCCACAGTAGCCAGGGAGAAGGGATATGGCTCTTGGCTTCTCATCACAGCCCCACAGATGGAAGTGGCGGGAGCGGTGCATGACCAGGCGTCCCCACCATCTCTACAGCACTTCTCCAAGAGGGTAAAGGCCAAAGCCCAGCCCTTCGGTCACCAGGGGAAAAAGTATTTGAAGAAGTTGCCTCCACTAAAATGCTTTAAAACAATAGTTAATACAGGAAAATGTGCATACCATATTTGAAAAGGCAAGATAAACTATATTTGGTATGGTCCACGTTTTGAATAAAAACTGTGTATTTGTATAGCTGTGAATGGAAAAAAAAAAGGAAAAGTAGGAAGTGGTAAAGAGTTGTTATTCCTGGGGTATAAAATTGTGGGCAGTATATGTTTACCTATATGTTTCCATGTTTCCAAACTTTCCATAGTTAATATGGTGAGTAGTGTGGGATAGAGGTTAGGAGCAAGGTCTATGAAGCCATAAGGCTTGAGTTTGAACCATGTTTCTGCCCTTTGCGAGCTATAGAACCGAATAAGTTATTTGGGTTCTTTGTGCCTTGGTTTTCCCATTTTTGTGAGGATCATTCCTGTATTTAGGAATAATGCCTTGGAATAGGGCGTGACATTTAGGAAACAACTGTACACGTTAGCTAAAATTATCATTATTACTATTATTACTTTTATAATCAGAAAAACAGAATTTTAAGAATTAACATTTCAGAAGTCATAGGTAACCTGATAAACAGCGGTTTCAGAGGCTGGTTGGATGGACGCTAAACTGTCTGGAGTCAAAAGGGGATAAGAAAGTAGTCCTAGCAAGTACCGACTACTCACCAGGAGCTTCTCTGGGAGCACTTTTTCTTTTCTATTTTTTTTTTAATAATTTTATTTATTTTTTTATAAACATATAATATTAGCCCTAGGAGTACAGGTCTGTGAATCACCAGGTTTACCCACTTCACAGCACTCACCATAGCACATACCCTCCCCAATGTCCATAACCCCACCACGCTCTCCCTACCCCCGCCCCAGTTTGTTTTGTGAGAGTAAGAGTCTCTTATGGTTTGTCTCCCTCCCGATCCCATCTTGTTTCGTTTATTCTTTTCCTACCCCTCAAACCCCCCACGTTGCCTCTCAACTTCCTCATATCGGGGAGATCATATGATAGTTGGGAGCACTTTTTTCTTAAGTGAATTTTCCTTTTATTTGCACCCATATATTTTTATTTGGTTTAACATAACTTTGAATTTCGGTTGTATGCTCTTATTTAATTTTAAAGCTAAGTAGAAGAGACAGACAAACAAATTTCATCAATGTGTTTGATAAAATTGATCAAATAAAATTGATTGTAAAGTTAATCAGATTATTCTCGAGCTTAAAGTCTCAGTCTTTACTCTCTTTCTTAACTTTCTTGGAGGGATCCTGGATTTACAAAGACAGCAAGCAAAAATAATAAAATATTATACTCAATATCTATTTTGTGACCCCAACTATCATTACATTTCCTTTTCTTTTTTCTTTTTTTTTTTTAAGATTTTATTTATTTATTTGACACAGAGAGACGCAGTGAGAGAGGGAATACAAGCAAGGGGAGCGGGAGAGGGAGAAGCAGGCCTCCCGCCAAACAGGGAGCCTGATGTGATGCAGGGCTCGATCCCAGGATGCTGGGATCATGACCTGAGCCAAAGGCAGACGTTTAACGACTGAGCCACCAGGCACCCCTACATTTCCTTTCCTTAGTATAGAAAGACCTGTTATCAGTGTATTCATATGTCATAGCATAAGAATGTGGGCAAAGATGAAACCTTACCAGTGTAGTCTCTTATCTGTCCTGATTTACTTTACATTGTAAGCTTTACTTTCTCTCATTTGCCTTACCCACAGAAGGAGCTCAAAAAATGGGATGAATTTGAAGACATTTTAGAGGAGAGGAGGCATGTCAGTGACTTGAAATTTGCGATGAAGTGTTACACACCTCTTGTCTATAAGGGAATTACTCCTTGCAAGCCAAGTGATATTAAATCTAGTGTTCTCAGTTCCGAAGAGGTTCATTATGTCATTAAACAGGTAAGTGATTCCGTCTTCAACCATAGCCGGACTTGTTCATTGTCAACAAGGAACGACACAGGTTTGAACCGCACAGGTCCACTTATACATAGTTTTGTTTTGTTTTGGTTTGTTTTAGGTTTTTTTTTTTTTTTTTAAATACAGTACAGTACTGTAAATGTGTTTTCCTTATAGTTTTCTTAAAAATGCTTTTCTTTAAAAACAGTCTATAATGCATGTAACGTCAAAAATACGTGTGAATCCACGTTGATGTTATCGGTAAGGCTGTCAGTCAAGAGTGGTCTATTAGTCAGGTTTGGGGGGAGTCAAAAGTTACACGTGGATTTTCAACCCATATGGGGGGTCGGCACCCAGCCCCCGTGTTCTTCAAGGGTCAACTGTAGTCTGACAGGGAAGGACGCCAGTTGTACAATTACAATGAAATATGATACAAGACACGCTAGTGGGAGCCCAGTGTACAGGGGCAGTAATTATAGGGCAAATGATTTTGTGTAAGGAATTAGAAAAGTGATTTTTTTTTTTAAATGATGCCTAAAAGATGGTTAGTGGTGAAGAAGTATTCCTAGCAGAGCAAATAACTACTTTCCCCATGGTTAAATCTCACTGCACATTAAAATTGCTGGAAAAAGGGACGCCTGGGTGGCTCAGTTGGTTAAGCAGCTGCCTTCGGCTCAGGTCATGATCCCAGCGTCCTGGGATCGAGTCCCACATCGGGCTCCTTGCTCATCAGGGAGCCTGCTTCTCCCTCTGCCTCTGCCTGCCATTCTGTCTGCCTGTGCTTGCTCTCTCTCCCTCTCTCTCTCTGACAAATAATTAACTAAAATATTAAAAAAAAAAATTGCTGGAAAAAGTGTCAAGAATCCCTGTGCATAGATCTCACCCCCATATGAATTAAATCAGAATGTTGGGGAAGGAGCCAGACATCCTAGTAGTAGTTTTTAAAGAAGCCCAGTCAAGGGGTGCCTGGGTGGCTCATTTGGTTAAGTGTCTGACTCTTGGTTTCAGCTCCGGTAAGGATCTCAGGGTCATGAGATGGAGCCCCTTGTTGGGCTTCATGGTGGGCGTGGCACCTGCTTAAGATTCTCTGTTTCTCCCTCCCTCCCTCTCTCTCTCTCTCTCAAAAAAAAAAAAAGAGAGAGAGAAGAAGAAAGAGGAGAAGCCCTGTTGGTTCCAAAGTATAGCAGAGCTTGGGAACCACCAGCATATTTTAGCAACTAGAGAACATGCATACGCAGAGTCCTAGAAGCAGTTTGTTTTGACCAGACCGAAGAGAGCGAAGACGGGGTACAATGGAAAGAATGTAGAGAGCCAAACGGGGGGACACATCACAGAGGGTTTTATAAACTATCCAGAGGGGGCAGCTGGGCGTCTCAGTCAGTTAAGTGTCTGACTTCAGCTTGGGTTAGCATCTCAGGGTCTTGAGATCAAGCCCCACGTTCTGCTCCCTGCTCAGTGGAGAGTCTGCTGGAAATTCTCTCTTGTCCACTCTCTCTCCCTCTGCCCTCCCCCTACTTGTGCACGCTCTCTCTTTCTCTCTCTCTAAAAATAAATAATAAATCTTATAAACCATCCAAAGGAGTTAGACTTAACCTACATACAGTGCAAAGCCATTGAAAGGTTTCAGGTTGGAGTGTGGCCTGATCAGTTAATGTTTGAGAAACACCAACAGGGCACCTGGGGGGCTCAGCTGGTTAAGCAACTGCCTTCGGCTCAGGTCATGATCCTGGAGTCCCAGGATCAAGTCCCACATCAGGCCCTCTGCTCATCAGGGAGCCGGCTTCTCCCTCTGCCCCTCGCCCCTTTCATGCTCTCTCTCTCTCTCAAATAAATAAAATCTTTTAAAAAAAAAAGAAAGAAAGAAACACCAACAAATGGAGACAGGAAGTCTGGTTATGATGCTCTTCCAGTAATCCCTTTGTGGGATCACAGTTGCCTAGGCTGCGGTTGTAGAAACAGAGATGGACAGATTTAAGAAATTTAAGAGGTAGGGTTGCCTGGGTGGCTCAGTTGGTTAAGTGTCCGAGTCTGGATTTTGGCTCAGGTCATGATCTCAGGGTCATGAGCTAGAGCCCCGCGTCATGCTCTGTGCTGAGCATGCAACCTGCGTAAGATCCTCCCTCTGCCACTTCCTCCTCCTCTCTCGCTCCATCTCTTAAAAAAAAAAGAAGAAAGAAAAATTTCAGAGGTGGAGTAGACCTTATTTATGATCAACTGGGTGAATGATGGGAAGGAAGAGAGAGACAGGATGACAGAAGCATTCACTGAGATAGGGAACTTAGGAGAGGGATTGGGCTTGGGAGAAAAGCTAGGTCTGTTTTGGGCATGTCATTTGAAGACATCAGATAGGGGTATTCAGGGGGCGCGATTACAGCTTCCTCATGGCCGGCCCTCCCTGTCACATTGTCCAGGTGCTCCCAGGCTTTGAGGTTTACCTGTAGAGATTGGGCTCCATTGACCTTTTTTTTGTTTAAGATTTATTTATTTGAGATAGTGAGAGAGAGTACACGAGCAGGGGCAGAGGGAGAAGGAGAAGCAGACTCCCCTGCTGAGCAGGGACCCTGATGTGGAGCTCGATCCCAGAACCCCTAGATCATGATCTGAGCTGAGGGCAGATGCTTAACCTGAGCCACCCAGGTGCCCCTCCACTGATTTTTTTTTTTTAAGATTATTTATTTATTTATTCGACAGAGAGAGAGAGATCACAAGTAGGCAGAGAGGCAGGCGGAGAGAGAGGGGGAAGCAGGCTCCCTGCTGAGCAGAGAGTCTGATTCCGGGCTCGATCCCAGGACCCTGAGATTAAGTGGGTTAAGGCAGAGGCTTAACCCACTGAGCCACCCACCCAAGTGCCCCCTCTGTTGATTTTTAAGTGGAATTTAGTCAGGCCTACAACCTCAGAGAAATTCTTTATCTCTGCTCTCTGTTTTCTTCTTTTTAAAAACATTTTTTAAAGATTTTATTTATTTATTTGAGAGAGAGAGAGAGAGTACGAGTGGCATGAGGAGCAGAGGGAGAAGCAGGAACCTGACCTGGGACTCAAGCCCAGGACTTCCGGATCGTGACCTGAGCTGAGGGCACATACTTAGCCAACCGAGCCACCCAAGCGCCTCTGTCTGCGTCTGACCTGTGCTCCTAATCCTTCTGGTTTTTTTTTTTTTTTAAAGATTTTATTTATTTATTTGACAGAGAGAAATCACAAGTAAGCAGAGAGGCAGGCAGAGAGAGAGGAGGAAGCAGGCTCCCTGCCGAGCAGAAAGCCCGACGTGGGGCTCGAACCCAGGACCTGGGATCATGACCCGAGCCGAAGGCAGCGGCTTAACCCACTGAGCCACCCAGGCGCCCCCTAATCCTTCTGGTTTAATCTGCCTGTTGTGATTTGTCTTGGGGGAAACTATTAGTCCTGTCTGACTCAGCCTATTTCATAAGTGAAGTAAAGTTTCCTTATCAGTTAGAACTTACAAAGACAGTGGTTCTCAATACTGGCTCTTTGTTAGAATTACCTGGAGGGGAAAAAAAAAGAATTACCTGGAGAACTTTCATAGAAGGTTAACTATGATTTTCTACTAGTACATAAACTCCATGAAGGCAAAAATTTTTATCTCCCTTATGACTCCCTTTTTTTTCTGTATTCTATATTTTTATCTCTCTCTCTCTCTCTCTTTTTGCTATATTACTAGTGCCTAGCACATAGTACACTTTCAATAAATATTTCTTGAATGAATGAGTGGAAAAAAAATGCTTTTGTCCTGTCCACAGTGATTCTGATATAAATTGGTCTGGAATAGGACCCAGGTATCTCTTTCTTCTTTTTCTTTTTTAAAAGCTCCCCAAGTAATTCCCATATGCAGCCAGGTTAAGCATGACTGATATAGGCCAGTGTTTCTCAGACTTGGCTGTTCTACTGAGGAAAAAAAAAAATCACTCAATGTAGGTAGATTGGAATTGTTATAAATTCAGGATCATGCAGCATAGCCGGGACTTCTGTGTTACCCAAGAATTCCTCGTTTCCCCAGGGAGCTCTCTCCCGTTCTCCGAACTGGGAGTATCAGCGTCAGTCCTCCAGCCGAGGACTTTCTGAACCGCCAGCCTCTGCCCCTTACCTTCAACAGGTGACATTTCTTCCTGCTTCCCAAAGAAAATGTATACCGTTAAATGACCACTCTCAACTTCCTGTGATCAAGCTACTAATTTACCTGCATCTGATACCCTCATTCTCTTCTTCCCTCCAGTGAAAACAGGACAGGAAGCTCTTTCTCCTGTTGTTCAACCCCTCCCCTATTGCTGAGCTCTGAACTTGACCGGCTCCGTCCTCCTCAGGGACTTTGGGGTCTCCCCTCAAATGTCTTCAACTTCTTCCTCTTCATTGGCTCTTTACTGTCATCCCTGAACTCGCGCAGACCTCTTCCTGCCGAGATCAGCCTCGTTCGGGCAGACTCCTTCTCTCCTTGTGGCTCCGCTCTTCCTTTCCCACTTCTCTACTCCGGGAAGAAGTCAGCTGTGTTTGCCATACGCGGGGCTCTAGTCTCTCACCCTCTGTATACACGCAGCTCCCTGGGATCCAGAGAGCTGGATCCCACTGTAATTGCTCTTTCCAAGACCGAGAATGATTCCTTCCTGATGGCTAAAATCAACCTTGTTGACACCCTTCGTAGCCCTTGGCACACTCTCCCTCCTTTCTTTCTGTGATACCATATTCTCCCCCTTACCTACCAAAATTTTTTTTAAGATTTTATTTTTAAGTAATTTTTACACCTGCTGGGGGGCTCGAACCCACAATCCTGAGATCAAGAGGCACAGGCTTCAAGGGAACCAGCCAGGTGCCGCCCACCACCACCAAATCTTTTTTATCATTCCTCAGTTGTCTTTGTGGGCTTCTTTCCCTTTGCCTTTTCCTGTCTCTTTAAATGCTGCTGCTCCTCAAGGTCTTGTTCTAATCCCTTCTTATTCTGCCTACTTACTGGGCTGTTTTATGTATTACCAGAATTGTAAATACCTTCCTTATGCTGATGTCTCCCTATTATATTATTATAATAATATATTATTATAAATAACAATATGTAGTAAATAATAACTGGTATCTATTGCTTCAGCCCAGATCTCTTTTGAGTTTCATACATGTATTTTTATGTCTACTGGAATACCTACTTGGAAAATCCAAAAGCATCTCACATTCAGGATATCTGAGCCAAAGTCTTTGACCCTCCCACCCCCACCACTGTACCATGTACATCCCCTACACCCAGTTCTGCGTATCTCCAAGAACAGCCCCTCCATATGCCTGCTGCTCCTACCAAAAATCTCGACACCGTCTTCGGCTTCTCACTTTTCCCTTCCTGTGCTGTGGGTCACTAAGAGCTGCTGCCAGTTTGCTCTCCTCAACAGCTCTTGTCTGTCTCTTTCCATCTCTGCTGCTGACTCAGGCTGCCTTTGTCTCGCAGAATGCTATGCAGCCGTCGAAGGGCTTTTAGCCCAGGAAAGATGAGATTACTTCTGCATTTAAGATATTGCTCAGGGGCAAATGGCTGGCTCAGTGGGTTGAGCATCTGCCTTTGGCTGAGGTCATAACCCCAGGGTCCTGGGATGGAGCCCCATGTCGGGCTCTCTGCTCAGCAGGGGAGTCTTCTTCTCCTTCTCTCTGCCTGCCTCTGTTCCTGTTCATGCTCTCTCTCTCAAATAAATAAAAATCTTAGGAAAAAAAAAGAAACCACTCTGGTTTGTGATGTGGAGAACAGACTGAGAGGGGACAATGCTGGGCAGGAGTTACAGAGCTAATGCTCATCTTTTAATCTTATCTTAGGTTTCCAGGAAGAAGGATCTGGAAGGGGAGACATATCTGTCGGGCTTTAGCCCGATTGCACAAAATAAGAGAATAGGTCATTCTCTGCTTCTGTGCTTTCCTCCAGTCCTGGAGAAGGCCATTCCTTCTGAACTGACCAACCTGCTCACCTGTGTTCTTCCATCTGTCCATTTCCTTCAGATCCCCTGAAGACTTGTCTGTCCTCCTCTTCAGCCTTCTGCATGGGCCCAGTGTCGGGGAGGGGTGGGCAAGAAGCCCCTTTCAGCCATGTATTTTTTTTTTTAAATGCTCCATTTCTCTTTCCCTTCTCATCCCAACTCCTCAAAGGTGTCGTGTGTCCTTTCCCGTGCACCTCCCACGTTCAGCAGGTTGCTGCCCTTGATTCCCGTAAAGGTTGCTGTGCATCTCCAAGTGACCCGGTCCAAGGGGTTCTTTTAGTCTGCACTGTGTTTCTACTGTGTCCAGTTTGTTGGACACTCTCCTGCAGGTCCTCTCTTACCTTCACATTATGGCATCACACAGTACAGTTCTCTTGCCATTTTTCTTGTTAGTCTCTTTACAAGTTCTTCTATCCAATGGGTGTTTGTCAGGGTTGAACCCTCAGCCTTCTTATTTTCATCCTGCAGCCTCCCTGGTCCATTTTATCCACTCCCGTCATTTCCATTTTTTATCTGTAGTCTGGTGATTCCCAAACGGGACCTCTAGCCTTGGCTAGATAATCGGGGTTCAGACTCTTAGCTCCCACCGTCCTCCCCCCTGCAGTTACTTTATACGTCTCCAAACACGTCAAAATCAGTATAGCCACCTTCTCAACCCCTGCACCACACTGTCTTCTACACCTGCTCTCCATCCCCAATTTCAGGACAGCCCCACCATCCATTCCGTTGCCCAAAACAACCGAGCATCTCACTGCCCTTCCCCTTCCCTTCAGCCTATTATTGCCTTTTGGGGGCCTTTTCTGTCTCCCGCCTGAACTATTGTGATGGCTTTCCAACTGTATTCCCTTTTCCTAGGCTTGTTTCCTGAAATCCATCCTTACCACCAATCCATTGATTCCTCTGTTTCCCTGAAAAAGATAAAATACGAAGCTAGGGAGAGGTTGATTATCCATTTGTGAAGGTACCAAGCGCCACAGAATTTAGCTTGAAATGGCTAATTTTATGTATGTTAATTTCACCTCAATTATTTTTTAAAAAAAAGAAGCTATTTGTCCACTGCATGTAATTGAGGTAACTGGGACTCCAGCATCCTACCCTCTCATCTTCTGGGCCACATCCTGGAACATTCTCCTCTGCGAAGGATAAATACAGTTTATCACATAGACGCTGTTCTTTCTCAACGTGCTCGCTTAAGGGGTCAAATTGGAGTTCCCTGAGGACAGAAGCTGCCTTACTTATCCCCGTCCCCAGGCCTAGCACACAGCCAACATGTTGTTCTCTTTAGAAAAAGACGTGGTGCCCTTTGGAGCAAAAAGAGTTCCAGTGTGAGGGCATCGGCTTTACTAGTTACGTGGATACTTTGGAAAGCTTTGTCCCAGTGACCTGTAGATCTGATACAGTCTGAATGGTTACTTCAACCTGATCTTCTGTTTTACTTTGTGTATTACCTTGTATATTACCTTGTGGTAGCAAGGGGCAGGTCGATGAGCGGCAGCAATCTGCTAAAAGCACACTGGTTCGTGGGCAACAGCTTACTTCGGAGAATTTGGCTGTGAGCTTCTTAACAAATCAGATGGAAAGGTGAGACGCTTTCCTAGAGGGCCTGTTCTCCTTGAATTACCATCTTTGAAGTTGTCTAAATAGGATGATTTATCTACTTGAGTTATATTGGAAAGTAAATTACACCGGTTGAAATGAAAGCAAATGTAGCATTTTTGAGGTATGAAATAAGGGTCTGTTTGGAACTAGTCGTAGCGGTTTGAGTGAACACGAGTTCTGGCTTTTCCTCAAAGACACATCCCTGCTTTCCCTTTCTTTCTAGCTTTCCAAGGAATCCCTTCAATCCGTCGATGTCCTCCGAGAGGAAGTCTGTGAGATTTTGGATGAGATGAGCCACAAACTGCGTCTGGGAGCCATCCGGTTTTTTGCCTTTGCCCTGAGCAAAATATTTAAACAAATTTTCTCAAAAGTGTGCGTAAATGAAGAAGGTATTCAGAAAGTGAGTATTGCTTGTTTAAAAAGAAACCTTCTTCCCCCTCACGATTTAGTCAACTTCAAGACCTCTCACACGGCACGAAAGGAGCAGGCCCTCGCCAGCCGGCTTCCCGGCTGGGCTGAGGAGGCTTTGCTTCTCTGGAGGGTGGTACTTGTTTACTTTCAGACCTACAGACTTCAGACTAACTCACTTGGTCCAGTAAGACTTCCAGACTAACCTCATGTCAGGTGTCTGCAAAGCTACAGAAGTAATACCAAGAATTTCTGTATATGACCCACCTGGATCCCCTCACAACATTTCCTTTATCCTCTCCTCAATACTCTGCTGTGTTTTTCCCATAAGCAAGGACATTCCCTTATGGTGCAGTTATCAGAATAAGCAAACTGACATTGATACAACACTAGTACACAGCAGTACAGACCTCAGTCGTATCTCATGGATCACCAGTTATATCTTGTATATTGTATAGTGAAAGAAATCCTACATTGGGTTAACATTCAGCTTCTGTATCTCTTTCGACTCTTTTAATGTAGAACAATTCCTTAGTCTTTGTGTTTCATATTAGTTTAGAAAAAAAAAAAAACAGACGAGTTATTTTGTAGCATGTCTTGATTTGGATTTAAGTGACGTTTCTCAGCATTAGACTCACTCTGTAGGGCTTGGGCAGGACACAACATTGTATCCTTCTCAGTGCAGCAGATCAAGGAGTGCGTGGTGGCTGTCTCCCCTTACTGGTAGTGTTCACTTTCGTCATCTGGTATCAGCCGGGTTTCTCCGCTGTGAAGTTACCCTGTTTCCCTTGGCAATGAATAAGAATCACATGAAGAGAGACTCTAAGGACGGGGAGGGGTCCTGGTTTCCAGCAGAGTCTCCATCACAGGTTTCACACTGATGATTTTTCCTGAACCAGTTATTACTCTAATGATTGCCAAATGGTGATTTTTCTAACTCCATCACTCCGGAGTGATTTAACAGGCGTGGTGTAGTCTTTTTTCTTCTGGAAAGAAGAGCTTTTTCTATTTTTATTCACTTATGATTTTTAATGTTTTGCCTCTTACTAAGAAGCTCTTACCTCCATTGGCCTTCTTCCACATGTCTTTTAATGTTTTATTCAATCATTTACTTTCATGTATTTCTTGTTTTCTCCTCTAATGACTATTCTGTAGTTTGCTGAGTTACTCTCAGGCTCTCTCTCAAAGAATGTTTGGGGTGGGGGGGCTGCCTGGCTGGCTCAGTCGGTTGAGCATCCAACTCTTGGTTTCGACTGGGGTCATGACCTCATGGGTCATGAGATGGAGCCCTGTGTCTCTGTGCTCGGCAGGGAGTCTGCTTCAGATTTTCCCCCTCTGCGCCCCACCGCATGTGCTCGTGCACTCTCTCACTCTCTCAAAGAAATAAATAAATCTTTAAAAAAAAAAAAAGTGTTTGATACAGCCATCCAGAGAATGTTGACTGGCCACGTCTTCTTAACTGATCACACACGACCTTGCCTTGGTGAATTTTATTTAGATTTTTAAAAAACAGATAACTCACTGATCCCAGTGAATATTTTTGAGGCTCAGAGCCTGTGGAATATATCTGGAAGCTCAAATTCCTTCTAACTAAGGGCACCCCTTCTTCCTGGTGGAAAGTACAGTATATAAATAGAAAAATACCATACCACTCATTTGTCCTACTAACGCAGATGTGTTTTTATTAATCTACCTGAGAGACACTTTGTTCTCTCTTACTGCACTCAACCGGTCTAGCACATTGCGTAACAGCTGACTTTTTTTTTTTAAGGTTTTATTTATTTATTTGACAGAGAGAGAGATCACAAGTAGGCAGAGAGGCAGGCAGGGAGCGGGTGGGTGGGGAGCAGGCTCCCTGCTGAGCAGAGAGCCCGACGCGGGCCTCGATCCCAGGACCCTGAGATCATGACCTGAGCTGAAGGCAGAGGCTTAACCCACTGAGCCACCCAGGCGCCCCAACAGCTGACTCTAATTCAGACTCACTTCAGTTCCACTCGCAGCTTGGCCATTGATGAGACGCGTGACCATGTCACAAATGGGGAACCTAATGCTTAGGCCTTATTTACAAATATGTGATATTAAACAGTGCATGTAAAATGCTTAATATGGGCCCAACTAATATGTTAGTGATCATCTCTCTTATGATGATCTATAAAATGTACATTTTTAATGTTCTTGCATTATGTGAGGTAATTTTAACTAGAACTCTGACATAAGTTTTCTGTATGTATTAGGAAGGCATCCGTAGTATTCTCTCTGTCCGTATATACCCGTTCTTCCGTTTGGTGATGTGACATGTGATTTTAATAACAGGAAAACTGAGAGTATTCAAACTGTAACCTTTCTTTTAAAGCTACAACGAGCCATCCAGGAGCACCCAGTCGTCCTGCTGCCCAGTCATCGAAGTTACATTGACTTTCTGATGTTGTCTTTTCTCTTATACAACTATGATTTACCGGTGCCTGTCATAGCCGCGGGAATGGGTGCGTATTGTTTTTCTCCTCTTCTGCTTTCATTATTAGAATGAAAATAGTCACTGAAATGATTTTACCGGTGACTGAGGTACGTGAAGATGAGGATGCAGATCCCCTCTCCCTTCTGCCGTCCAACCTGAGTGACCATGTCGCAAATATAATAAATATGTTATAAATATAATTATAAATATTATAACAGATAATTAATATAATAATTATATTATAAATATAATTATAAATATTATAATAGATGGTTAATATACTATAGTAGATATATTATAAATATAACCCCCGATAGTCAGGATTAGGTCTCTGTGCTGCACTTCACTACAGATGGAAAGAAGGACAAGTGCACACCGGCGTTTTGGTTTAGATTTGTAAATGAGATACCACTTGTATATATGACCTGCCTTTGCTTTTTTTATTTGATAATTTATCCGTGGTTATCTCTAAGGTCAGGAAATCTAACTTTTTTCTTTTACATATTTTTAATTATGGTAAAATACACAAAATGTTATGTCTGCCACCGTAACCATCTTGAAGCATATAGTTCGGTGGTATTAAGTACATTCACGCTGTGAATCCACACACGGATCTCCACCTACTTTTCATCTTGCAGACCTGAAATTCTGTCCCCAGTCAGCACTGACTCCTTCTGCTCTCCCCCCAGCTGCTGGCCAACACCATTCTACTTTCTGTCTCTAGGAATTTGACTCCTTTAGATACCGCATACGAGTGGAACTTAAAGGATTTGTCCTTTCGTGGCTGGTTTCTCTCACTCAGGGTCTACTTATGTTGCACCATGTTTCAGAATTTTCTTCCTAAAGGCTGAGTCCTGTTTGGCTGGACGTCCAGAGCACATGTTGTTTATCCTTTGTTCTGCCCATGGATGCTTGGGTTGCTTCCACATTTTGGCTATTATGAATAACGCTGCTATGAACATAGGTGGGCAAATGTCTGTTTGAGTCTCTGCTTTAAATTCTTCTAGGCATATACCCAGAAGTAGAATTGCTAGCTTATGTGCTGGTTTTATTTTTAATTTTCTTTTCCTTTTTTCTTTTCTTTTTTTTTATTTTTAATTTTCTTGAGGAACACTGTATTGTTTTCCATAATGACTGTACCATTTCACATCCCACCAATGCAGTGCCCGAGGGTCCAGTTTCTCGGCATCCAACACTTAATTTCTTGTGGTTTTTGTGTTTTGGTTTTTTTTGTTTTTTTTGTTTTTTTTTTAAGAGGAGAGAGAGAACACAGCGGGGGTAGTGGCAGGCAGAGAGGGAGAAACAGGTTCCCTGCTCTGCAGGATTCAATCCTAGGACCCTGAGATTGTGACCTGAGCCGAAGGCAGACACCTAACCGACTGAGCCACGCAAGCATCCCTGCTTCTTGTTTTGTTTTAATCACAGTCATCCTAATGGGTAGGACATGGTACTCAGTGTAATTTTGATTTATATTTCCCTGATGACGAGCAGTGTTGATCATCTTTTCACGTACTTTTGGCCATTTCTGTATCTTTTTTGGAACAGTTATCTATTCAGGTCCTTTGCCCATTTTTGAATTGGGTTGTTTTTGTTGTTGTTGTTGAGTTGTAGGAGTTCTTTATGTATTCTGGAGAATAATCCCTTATTAGATACATGATCTGCAAACATTTTTTCCCTTCTCCCACCGAATCTCTCCCAAAGTTGACTCTGCAGTCTACCAGTGGATCCTTTGATGCACAAAAGCTTTTCATGGTGATGTAGCCCAGTTTCTTTGTCAGTGTCTTTTGTCCTCTGTGCTTTCGGTGTGCTGTCCAAGAAATCATTGCCACATTTAACACCATGAAGTTTTCCCTCTATGCTTTCTTCTAAGAATTTTATACTTTTAGGTCTTACATTTAGGCCTTGATCTTACACTGCATATAAAATTAACTTGAAATGGATCAAAGGCCTAAATTCATGTCTAACATTATAACATTCAGCAGCATAGGTGTACTGTGGTTGGATAGTTCTGTGGTTGCAGTTTTACAGTATATTCTCATATCAGTGCTTTTATTTCTGGATGACTGATTCCTAAAAGCAGGATTGCTCATGCAAACCATTATTTATCTTCTCCCTTTGGAGGGAGCCAGGAAAGTTGGGATTCAGGCATATACCTTGGTTAATAAATGCAGTCAACGGTAAGGTAAAAATTGCCAGGGACTTAAGTACTTTAAAAGCATTTTCATCTGTACAGACACGTGAGGAAGTTCTTTGAAAGTTAGGGAAAACGGAAAAAACGAGGGTTTTAAAACTGATGGTAGAATAAAGCATCCCACAGTCGCTTTATTTAATTTGTGCCACTAAAAGAAGGCTGGTATTTTTACCTCCTGGGTTAAAAAAAAAAGGAAGGTGGGAGCTGATCTGTCCAGCTGTCAAGCATGGAAGACACAGGCTGGTCTGTCATCAGGCAGAAGCAGTAGCTAAAGAACTCGATTATGGTGACGTTACCGAGCTTGTCACGTTGCCTGTTGTGGCCCCCGTCTCAGGTCGGTTGGGTTATAAACACGGAGGTGCGTGGGGGCGCATGAGGTAGCCTCCCAGTGGGCCTTCCGCCACTGTCCCTTCTCTCCCATGATTCTATTAGATTCTTCTTCAGACAGATTTTCAGCTCAGGAAGTATGAGTAGTGATATCATCGTGGTGTCTTCTGCTGTTTCTTTACAGAATGTGGGTTTAGGTATTTATAGAAGGTTTCAGGATCTGCAAATACCGATGAACCCCTTCTCTGTGTTTTGTTTAGACTTCCTGGGAATGAAGATGGTCGGGGAGCTGCTGCGGATGTCGGGCGCCTTCTTCATGCGGCGCACCTTTGGTGGCAATAAACTCTACTGGGCGGTGTTCTCTGAATACGTGAAAACCATGTTGCGGGTAAAGGCAGATAATTTCCCGGTACCTTCAAGCCGCATTTCCTTTTCGCTCAAGCTTGAGCTTGCCATAGGATCTTACTTAAATTCTTCACTCCTGAGTGGCCCACTTGGCTACTTGTCCCCCACAGTGTGTTTCAGGCTGGGGGTGGGGGACAGCTTGGGGAAAGGAATCAAAAGAACCTTTTCTCACTTTGAGACTAGGCAATGGGTTTTGTGTTTTGTTTTGTTTGTTTGTGTTTTCTCTTTAAAGAATGGTTATGCTCCTGTTGAATTTTTCCTCGAAGGGACAAGAAGTCGCTCTGCCAAGACATTGACTCCGAAATTTGGTAGGTCCTTTAGAGACTGAAAGAATACACGTCCAGGTGTGTGGTCATCATAGCTGCTAAATATGGCTCGACACTTTTTTTATGGCAAGATCATTTTTTTCTTTATAAGTGTAACTGTTTCTTTAAGTTGTAATTGTTTCTGTGTATGGGCTGTGGATATAATGTACACTTCCTGTTTACGGACCCTCATTTGCTCCACATTTCACTACATACAGAAAACCATTTCTCCCTGTTGACAGGTCTTTTGAATATTGTGATGGAACCATTTTTTAAAAGAGAAGTTTTTGATACCTACCTTGTTCCAATCAGCATCAGTTATGATAAAGTATTGGAAGAAATGCTTTACGTGTACGAGCTTCTAGGGGTTCCAAAGCCAAAAGAATCTACAACTGTACGTAAAGGATAACCAAACTTGATTTTCCTTGAATTTAGAGAAAATGCTGGTTTGTACACCAGCTCCTTTCTGAACTTACTCTTCTTTGTTCCATTCCCTCTGTTTTGATACTATTAGGGATTGTTGAAAGCCAGGAAGATCCTCTCTGAAAATTTTGGAAATATCCATGTGTACTTTGGAGACCCTGTATCACTTCGATCTCTGGCAGCTGGGAGGATGAGTCGGAGCCCATATAATTTGGTTCCAAGGTGCAAGACCTGTGTTTTCATAACTGATGTAGAAATAAGGATGAGCATCTGGAAGTGTGTGGTTGGGCTTCTAGGACTGAACCTGGTTATCTGAGATCACATAGCAGGGAAGCGGAAAGCTCCAGTTAAAGAACTATGTTTGTGGGGCGCCTCGCCGCTTGGCGGGTGGAGCATGCGACTCTTGATCTTGGGGTTGTGAGTCTGAACCCCACACTGGGTATGGAAAATTACATAAAAGGTAAAAAAAATTTTTTTAAGAAAAGAATTGTATTTGCCAATTATACAGCCAGCCGCAGGATATATATGTCGAATACCCAAAGTCAGATGGTGCTGCTCGTTCTTCTCAGGAGAACCAGTACCCTCCTGCCTATACTATACTCCACCACTTAGTACCCTGCCCATTCTGTGGGCAGGGCAGTGGCTGAGCACTACTAGTAGGTCAGCCAAAGTATATAGTAAGTATTATTTTTGATCCTAGAAGGGATTACATGATAATGAATGAGGATGACTCTCTCCCCTCAAGGTTACAGTTTTGTTTTGTTTTGTTTTGTTGTTTAAGATTTTATTTATTTATTTATTTATTTGGCGGGGAGAGAGAGAGAGACAGAGACAGTGGGAAGGTGGGGGAGGAGAGCAAAAGGAGAGGGATAAGCAGACTCTGCACTGAGCACAGAGCCCGACACGGGCTCGTGACCTGAGCCGAAACCAGGAGTCAGATGCTTAACCGACTGGGCCACCCAGGTGCCCCCAGAAGGTTGTAGGTTCATGGGCACAGATATGTGCTTTCAGGATGCAGGTACAGACACACACCTGGGTTTTTTTAATCTGGAGAAGCACACCTGGGGAAGTAAAGGAGACAGAACCCATCTGCTCAGCCAGGCTGCCCGTGACTGCAATATCACTCATCATTTATCTGTCATGCCAGGGCGCCCACGGCCGCTGGCGTGCGTCACTAGCCGCTTCCTCAGCTCTGAAGCGGATGTTAGCTTAGCTTTCCCTCTCTAGCTCTCAGATTGGGTCTGCCAGGTGTTCTCTAGGACCGGGCGCCCTCATTGGTCCTAGATTTCACGCGAAGCCACCTTACTGTGGGGCTGCTTTAGGTCCTGCGCCTATCCCTGCTTCATCCCGCTCCACCCAGGCTCCGGAGAGCATCTCATTCCAAGGTTGCTGACACACGCCTGAAGAATCTGTCAGGCGAGGATCGTGGCAGTACGTGGCAGGCGACCTTGCGCTTTTTAGAAGGGCAGGGCGGCCGCCAGGCAAACTGGATGGCCTGTGCAGCGCAGACATGAGTGGTCACATGTTCCCTGGAACGCATGTTCTGGGAGACAGGTGTTCAGAGCACAGAGGATTCCAGAAGGACCCTGTCGTCCAGTCTGCTGGCGGAGGCCTCCGTTCTCACGGGGGAATTGATGGATCCACTGATAAAGCCGCAGCAGTTGTGGTTTTTGTGGGTTGTTGTTTTTGCCTGGAACCCAAAAGAATAGGACTCTGTCCCATGGGGCAGGCTACACTGTAGTCAAGTCAGGGTGTAGTCTTGCATTGTGACCTGAGAGAATTCGGTTGGCAGAAAGTCGGAGAAGCCTTCCCAAGGGTCTGTCTCCGCGCCCCCCGCCCTCCCCCACTCACCTCGACGCACGCCACAGAGTGGTGATTCGGTCTTCGCTGTTCTCGTAGGTATATTCCTCAGAAGCAGCCGGAGGACGTGCACGCCTTCGTCACGGAAGTGGCCTATAAGATGCAGCTGCTGCAGATCCAGAACCTGGTCCTGAGCCCCTGGGCCCTGACGGCCGCCGTTCTGCTCCAGAACCGGCCGGCCATGGACTTCGACGCCCTAGTGGAGAAGACTTTATGGCTCAAAGGCTTAACCCAGGCCTTCGGGGGCTTTCTCACTTGGCCTGGTACGTATGTGGGATGCATGTCCTGAGAGTGCTTGCTTTTTATTTCTTACTCTAGAAGAATCCTTGCCCAAGCATGGAAAAGCCTGTACAGGACACGGAGCAAAGCTTTGCTCCGAGAGAAAGAAAACTTTACTTGTTGGTATCACTCTGGGACATTGTGCAGCAGAATCCCTCGAGAATGAGTAGTGGTTCACACGCCGTGTCCTCCTGGACACTCAGTACCTGGAGAGCGAGAACACCGTCTCCTCGGCACCCAGCGGCCCGGAGAGTAAGTGGATCTTATCGTCCTCCACGCATTCCTCCCTCCACACCACCTCTTTATTTTCATTTTTTCTAAATTTTTGTTATTGAAACACGGTCGGCATAGCATGTCCCGCTTGTTTCTGGTGTGCAGCACTGGTGTGACAGCTCCGTGCACGACTCGGTGCTCGCCGCGACCGGGGTGGTACGCCCTCCTTTTAAACCTTCTTGTATTCGCAACCCATTTGCCTCACTGCGTCCTAAGGACTAAAGGGCCAGTCATGTAGAACTTTATACAATTCTCTGAAGACGATAGCTTTGTAAAAGCCTCATTAGAGTTACAAATACTGTGCTGGGAGTTTGGGATGTTATATGACAAGTGTTAGCTTTAGTCCCGTTTTCAATCTCTCTGGGTTAAAATTGCAGAGACCGCTGTTAGAAGTGGGATCCATTTATACGCAGCTCCCTGCTGTTCGTCATTAAACCTCTTGAGTCTGGTCGGTGCTGAGAACAGCCAGGGATACAAAGGGGACAAGCAGCAGCCTCTGTGAGGTTCTCCTGCCTTGTGGAAGTCAGGGCTGGGTGATCTAGAGACAAGGTCCAGTGGAGTAAACAGAGAGAGCTATGGATGGGGGGCGCCTGGGCCGCTCAGTCAGTTAAGCGTCTGCCTTTGGCTCAGGTCGTGATCTCAGGGACCTGGGATCGAGCCTCAGGTCAGGCTCCCTGCTCATCAAGAAGTCTTCTTGTCCCTCTCCCTCTGCTGCTCCCCCTACTCATGTGCACTCTCTCTCTCTCTCTCTCTCAAATAAATAAGAAAATATTTGGAAAAAAAAAAAAAAAGCTATGGACAGACCACAGACAGTTGCTGAGAATACTGTGTAGGGAAGGGTCTCCGCTCTGGGAAGGTTTCATAGAAGTGACTTTTGATGTCGGGTTTCACCTTGATGGAAAAGGAGGAGCCGTTCAGGAAGACGAGTGGGTGAGGGATTTTAAGGAGCAGATTTTAATCAGGGAAGCATGACTGAAAACAGCTGTAGCAAACAGCCCATGTCAGCTTTAAAGGTGGACGAGCTACGAGATGTGTAGGCGGAACTCACAGAAGGGACATCAAACTGGATGGCGGTCACCAATGGGGAAATGAAGATGAATCAGACACATGTCCCAGTATTTTCATGGTCTCCTGGGAGTGTGATTCAGGTGGGAGATCCTGGAAAAGAACAGGTAAAGTGCTGACTCCTGCAGGCCCAGGAGCCTGTGAGAACACAAGCGCCTCCTTCCAAGCGCTTCGCTCTTGCAAGGTGGGGTCGATGCGCGGCCAGTCCACGGCTGAGAGTCTCTGTTGAGCAGCTAAAGTAACTGCAGCTACCATGTGGGTATTAAGTAGCCGTCATGGAGAGTGATTGGGCACATTTCCTAATTCAGTTCCTTTTTTCTTACTCCACTCATCTTGCCTGCGTTCTCATGGCTGGAGCTCTTTACCGTATCCTATTGTCCTGGCATACTGTTCCGTGCTCTGTGATGTGTATAACAGTATCATAGGTTGTATCGTTACCTCAAGCAAGCTGGCCCAAGGCCTGTGAGCCCAGAAGGAAAGCCACACCCTTCGGTCGACCTTGTTGGCCAGCTGGAGCGGTGTCCCTTTGCTTATGTAGCCCGGCAGCCTGCTGTGTGGCCCAGGGTAACAGGAAAATGATCTCCCTTGCCAAGAAGGCTGACTGTCACCATGTCTCTGGTGTGCTTCGGTAGTTCTAACTCCTTGGCTATCTCCAGGCTAGTGAAGTGTCAGTGGAGTGAGTTACCAGGATCTGAAACGGGCCCCATCGTTTCGTTTTCTCGGATGTGGGAAAACCAGAAGATCTCACCAGGGAGGCCTGGTGCTAGGGGAGTGCCTCTTGGGTTGCCCTTTGCTTCACCAGCAAAGTTGCAAAACAATATTCTTGCAGTCTTGGAATTAATTGATCTAAGCAGGGAGTGTGTGTGTGAGCGAATGAAGCACGTTCTAATCGTGAACCTTCTGGTATGTGATTTTCTTGTCCTATAGCTTGCTTTTACAGTCCTTGGGACACACTTGGTTCCTGAGGAAGTGTTGGTTTTCAGAGCGGGAATTGATATGTATTTCAGAAGAGATGACAGATTGGGGGTAGATAAGAAGGCGTGTTAAATGTCTTTAGAGCGAGAGTTACAGTACTTTCATAGTCTCTTTCACAGGGCGCCTGGCTGGCTCCGTTGGAAGAACATGGAACTCTTGATCTCAGGGTCATCAGTTTGCACCCCACATTGGGCACAGAGATTACTTTAAAAAAAAAAAAAATGTGTCTTTACCATAGGGTCTCATTACTTCGATTGGTAGAGCCCAGAGCTCGAACCTGGCACTTGAAAGTGAATGTGTCAGGCCACTAGCATTGCTGGACACCCAGCAGAGACCCGTCCCATCTCCGCCGCCCGCCTGAATGACTTGTCTCTGTGTGTAGATAATGAGCCTGCTGAGGAAGTTATCCAGTCCAACATTCTCCTGCATTCCAACATCGCTAGCCTCGTCAAAGACCAGGTGGTTCTGAATATGGACTCTGGAGACTCCGAAGTGGTCGATGGACTTATTTTCCAGCATATCACCCTCCTCATGTGCTCGGCCTACAGGAACCAGTTGCTCAACATTTTCGTCCGCCCTTCCTTAGTAGCTATGGCACTGCAGATGACCCCCGGGTTCCGGAAAGGTAACTCGTGGGAATGTGGTCTTGAACTTTGGAAGAGACCCGGCCATCCAGTTCCACATAGGGAGCAACATTTGAAGCCTTACAGTGCTCAGCCACATGTGTGCACCCTAGACAGCAGCAAAAGTGGGGCTTGTACACTCAGAAGCAGTTAGGTTTGTGCCCCCAGTACATGGCCCTCTGCTTCAAATTTGGGAATGGAAAGGGACAGAAGAAATTAACCTAGACCTCTCCTTTTATAAATACGGAAAGTGAGGCCTAGCAAGTTACGTAATTACCTGAGCACGGCTGTGAGACTAGAGCACAGCTCTCCCTCTCCTGGCCTGAGGCCCTTTCTCCCTTATCTGACAGAAGGTGGGGGGGTGGGGGAGTGGGTAAACAGTCCAGCAGTGCAGGAGTGCCATCTGGCACTGAGGGGGGAACCATGAATAACACCCTTTTGTTCCCAGGAACCTGTCGTCAAGGTCCAGGGTGTTCTACCCAGGCTTCCCTGGAGTTACTGAAGGGTGAGCCCCACCTTTCAGTTGTTCCAGAGTGTGGATTAGATGCTGTTCTCATTTTTGTTTTTCAATGCTCCATAGATCACTCTAAGGAAGAGTCAGACTTTGACCTTTAGCCTTGGAAGGAGCCTCAGGTCCTGTGTCCATGCCCTCATTCGTGAATGAGGAAACGGGCCAGACAAGTCAGCTTAGTTCAAGACACAGAAAACTTAAATCTTGGTCTTAGTTCTGAGGTTTCTTACATCGGAGTTCGTTCACAGCTACGGGGATGGTACCTGCGTGGTCTTCTAGAGTGTTGGGACCGCCCTGAACTTGGAGACAGCACTTCGTGTCCACATGTCTACATATTCTTCTAATGAGAACATTCATAGCATGTGTCAGAAAAACGAAGAAACCTCTGTTCTTCATTAACTAATGGGCAGGGGAGACCTATGTTTCTGGAGAATGAGACAGTATTTTCTGTTGTGTGCTGGTGTATTGTAGTGCTAAAGATACGGGAAAGACAACAGGAAATAGGACTAGAGAAGGGATCGAAGTAATTTGTTCCTTTCCTTCTCTACTCAGGAGCCGTGGGCAGGGGATCGTGAAGCACCCTAGCTTCTTAGAAATGTAGCCTCTCACACGTCAGCACACTGACTGGATAGAAGCCTGGCTGTGACTCAGGTCTAGCCCTTTGCACTGCTACACTGTAGTGCGCTCTGTAGGTAAAATTTGGATTGGCTGTGTAACTTCCTTTGGGGGCCTGCATTCTCGTCCTTGGCATTGAATAATAGGCCTTTGGAGTGCTGCACTTTGGAGAATTGTAGACTTCTTGGTACTTCCTGAAAGTTTAAAACCAGCATTGTAATTGGATGTAATTTATTTATTTCCAGAGGATGTCTACAGTTGCTTTCACTTCCTGCTCAGTGTTTTTTCAGATGAGTTCATCTTCCTTCCAGGAAACACACTAAAGGTAAATCTTTATAGCCAAAGAGCACGAGTGTGTTCACAGTGTGAGTTCTGGAAGTGGCAGGCTTTGATTCACGCGTGTGACTTCCCTTTCCCCAAGGCTGTACGCAGCAGAAATAACAAAACTCTTGGACACTCACATTTCGATGAGCTTTGTTTTGATTCTTGGTCAAGGTTAATCAGTAACGTAGGGATTATTTGGTGAAAAGAACGTCTCAAACCTTAAACCTTGAGTGCAGCCACTGTAAGTAAGTCAACACTGTTTGCTTAAAAAATTTATCAGCCGGTACACATTTTCCTGTTAACAACTTGTTGCAATGTATGGGGCCCTTTGCTTTGAGATTAGAGAGCAGTGGTCTTGCCTGACGGTATAGACAGCTCGTGAGGGATCGGACCCTCAGAGCTGGACCTCAGGTGTGCTAGGGCAGGGGATATACCAGGATAGACAGAAGGTGGTCAGGTTTCTGTACACTGTGCTGAGGAGCCCAGGTTTTACTCTGTTGAGAACGAGGTCAGCAGTTTTTTGAGCATTAGCACAATTCCACATATCTTTAGGACCAGCTATATGCTCTATTTAAAATTTGAGGAATGTGGCTGTGCAAAGTGAGAAAAAGCCATCACCCAGGTCATGGTTTCTAAGGCTCCTGAATCTCTTGTGTGTTTGCTGTGTTTGGGGTTCAGCATTTTGAGTGTTCAAACACATGCTTCTCTGGCTGCTATCTAATAAGCAGAACCTTTTGGACGGGTTGTGGAATTAGCTGGTGTTCTCTAGTTCTGAGGACCCATGGCTGTGTTTACTGAGACCAGCAGAGTTCCTGTTAACCTAAATTAGTGGATGCTCCCTGTCTTCTCCCCTCCCTTCCCAGGACTTTGAAGAAGGCTGTTACCTCCTCTGTAAAAACGAGACGATACAAGTGACGACAAGAGACATCCTAGTTACAGAGAAAGGAAATACCGTGTTAGAATTTTTAATAGGTCTCTTTAAACCTTTTGTGGAATGTTATCAGGTATGTATCTCTTTTGCAAGTTCTCCTTCATCCCCCCGTATCCAGTATAACTAAGACCTCCCACCCTGTGCTTGCTTCCTTCTGGTCCGGAGGGCAAGTGCCTTCCTCAGGTGAATGGTGGAGCTAGAGATTGCTCAGCAAGTTGGAAGAGTCACCTCTCAGGTGAAGACCTTGCTCCCCTAAAGGGGTCCCTTACAGACCCCAGAGGGTAACAGCTTCAGGATGACCAGAACCACACCTAGACCCAAGTGCCATCATACTGTACCTTCGAGGCTTTTCTCGTAGTTCAGTGTTTGCTACATCGCAGGCACTCAGTCAACGCAAGACTGGAATGATTCGTCATGTCAGTGATTGTATCACTAAAGGCTAATGGAAGGGGAAGTAAAGGTTCAAGTGCAAGTATCCAGAAGGGTCTGTCAGAGCTCTAAGGAGTGGTTAAACAGAGGGGGGGATGGTAGAGATGCCGGGCAGGAACGGTGCCAGGATTCCAAGGGCAAGGGGAGTTTGCAGGGGCTGTACATATTCACCAGAAGCGGACCCTGGCTCTGAGCTCTGAGCACTCAGCACTGGTCAGCAGCCCCCCGGGACCGACATTCTGGCAGCGGGGGGTGCTCTGACCCATGACAGAGCGAGCCCCTGTGCCAAGTCCCGCACTGAGCGGGCAGCTGAGAAATGCTCCTTCTGCCCGTTAGCACTTTTTGCGATACAAGTCTTCAAGCATCTGGGGCCCCGACAGGCTCTTAGGTGTTTTTAGGGAAAAAGCAGTTACACAGAATCTGGCCACTTTCTTCCTGAGCAGTGTAAGACCTGTTCAGCTGATGGTAATTCACTCAACTCGCAACCATTCAAGTGAGGAAGTGTATTTTAAACAATGTCAGTACGAGTTCACACTCTGGTTTTCCAACTATAAGCAGTGATACCAGCTCCAGGGCGACCTCCTAAGAATTCTGTAGCTTCTCTGTGCTCCAGCCTTAGAGAGCCTTTATTCTGCTCCCACACGACGTAGCTTTCTGTCATGGGGGCCACGGCACGGCCGTCGCCAGTGCAGGGCGTTTGGCTGCCTTTTTCTATTTCATTTCCCCTCACCCTTTCTGTTAAAATCAGATAATTTGCAAATACCTCCTGAACGAAGAAGACTACTTCACTGAGAAACAGTACTTGGCTGGAGTCCGAAAGTTTGCGGGTCAGCTTCTGGATCAAGGTTAGTCACACCACCGTGCGTGGCGACTTCTTGCAGTTGAGAACAAAAGGGTCCACTGACTCTTTCTCCCTCGCAGGTGCCTCGCAGTGTTACGATGTCTTGTCCTGCGACGTGCAGAAAAATGCCTTAGCAGCTTTTGTGAGGCTAGGTGTGGTGGAGAAGAAGAAAGTGTAAGTACTGCACACGGGACCGGGGGAATGGTGGCCGCTAACGGCCGCTGAGCACGGAATGCAGAGCAAGTCCTCGAAACAGGATATCCTGCTTCCCTCCCCTGCCTCCCGATGAGTTATGTCAGTGTGAGTTACTGTGCAAGTTTTATGTGGTTATGAATGAAGACGGTATCGAAGCAAAGAAAGAAAGTATTCTAGGCCAGCATTTTGGCCTTGACCTAATATTGAAATGTATAGATGAACTATAAGAGAGATTTTGGGGGAGTGTAGTAGAGAGAGAGAGAGAGAGAGAGTGTGTGTGTGTGTGTGTGTTTGTGTGTGTGTGTGTGTGTGCACACACACTTATATACACACACAAACATGCATGTATAGTACATAAAGACACACCTGTGTGTGCAGATAGTTCGTTGTTTCCTCTCTGAGTGAAGGAATTGAAGAGTGACCCAGCTTCGTGGGGAGAATCTCGTCATATATCTCTCCTGTCATCAGGGGGATGAAGGGTGAAGCCAGCAAGTAGGGCAGGAGCAACAGGATTGTCGGCTACTGAAAGACTTGGCCTTCGAGAAGTAGTCTTAGAGAACCTGGCTGGCTCAGTTGGTAGAAACTATGATTCTTGATCTTGGAGTCATGAGTTAGACCCCCACGTGGGGAGTAGAGATTTAAAAATAAAAATAAGAATAATAAACTTGAAAAGTAGTCTTGGTACGCCTGGGTAGGTCAGTCAGTTAAGCGTCTGCCTTCGGCTCAGGTCATGATCCCGAATCCTGGGATCGAGCCCCGCATTGGGCCTCTTGCTCAGTGGGGAGCCTGCTTCTCCTTCTGCCTGTCGCTCCCCCCTGTTTGTCTTCTCTCTCTGTGTCTCTGCCAAATAAATAAAATCTTAAGAAGAAAAGGAAAGAAGTCATACTATATAAGATAATAATGAACGTCGACTTCCCCCACCCAAGTTTAGGTAATAAGAGCTTTTTGCTTTCTTCCCCAGAAATAGTGACACTGTATTTAATGTGAACGAACCTGCCATGACAAAATTAGAAGAAATGCTTGGTAAGTACAGTTCAGGGACCCGTGATGGGTTTTCACATTGTATTTATCACCATCCAGTAAGACGAGAAAGTAGACTATGGCACCGGATACTTTATCAAAATGAACAAGTTTTAATACAAACAGAATTATTTATATCATCTAGGTTTTTCTCAAGGGAAGTAAGGAGAAAGTGCAGAGGAAACACAACAGGCAGAACATGGTCGATCTTCTGCAACATAACTGTCAGCATCTACCATAACTAATGAGGGTCTGAGATCTGGACCCCTCACATCCCATCTCAGTGGACATGGAGAAAATACCTCTTGTCTGAGCCCTTGGATTTATTCTCCTCCTCTCTGCTCTTGGATCCCTTCTTTGCCTGGCAAAGGGTTGGGATCAGTGTTCACAGCATATAGACTTCCTGAACTCAGAATTGGAGCTGATAGCGTATCCTTAGGAGAATAATCCGACCCTTACTCTTCTCCAGACGCCATCAGCTTATCAATAGGTAGTTCAGTCCAGAAAGGCAAGGTCATCTGTTTGCAGTACGAAGAGAGAGTCAAGAGTGTGGATGTAAGGAAAGAGATCGAAGAGGTCAGAGGAATTAGCGAACATTTCTCTTAGGAATGATGGGGTAGTTTTGGAACGGGAGGGTGTCAGTATTTGAAAAAAAAAAAATACTGTCTGCTGATTGTATTGAATAAGCACAACATTGTTGAATGGATATTCTTGTAAGTAGTATTCTTGTACCTAAACCTAATCCAGTACGTTTGTTAAGCCTGCGTGAAGAGCTTCAGGTCGACGTCTGGTGGGATGAGGGGAAAACGAATGGTAAAGCAGAATGGCTGAAGAAAAAGGGTAGAAGGCAAAGAAATGGTTGACATCAGTGGGGAAGATGGAAATACTAATTTCTTGCTGAAGAAAATATGAAGGTTGAAATCTCCGTCTTCTGTTTGTATTGTGTCTGAAATCTGAGAATATGTACCCTTGAAACTCGATTTTGAGTTTGGTGAGAGGAGCATCTAGCTTTGAAACAACCTCCAAAGCCCTCATTCTGTGAGGATGACAGAATTGATTTCTTAATCACAGGTGGCAGATATGACATGGGTATGAATGTGCTAGAACATACTAGAACGAAAGTCCCGAAGGCAAACTGTTCTGATTCTGGCTCTGCCCCTGGCTGTAGGGTGGTGGGTGGGGGCCGCTGCTGCTTCCCCCGCAGAGGGGCAGGTGTTCTCCCTCGGTGCTCAGTCAGCCTCTGGAACCACGAGGCTTAAACAGCTTTGTGAGGAAGGGCAAACTCAAGGTCGTTTCATGGGCTTTTTTTTTTTTTTTCCTTAGGTTGTAAGACACCAGTAGGAAAGCCAGTGACTGCAAAACTTTAATATTGCCAAGCAGTTACAGGAAATTTGGTTACATAATTGCTGCCATCCAAGGACTCACTCCAGCAAGCAGGGACATGAAGGAAGAGAGCCATCTGCTCGTGCTCCTTAGGACAGCCGCGGGCTCAGCAGAGAGGAAGAGGAGACCGGTAGAAGGGCAGTCCGTGTAATGCTCTCCACGACACTTAAAAAGGCTTTTGTGTCCAACTCTGTGTGTGTTTTAAAATAAAATAGCCTTTGGAAACATGTTTGGAAAAACAAATCCCAGTCCTATTTCACTAACACTTTTTATCTTACCATCACGTGTACTAAACTTGTTGTGCTGACTTGTGAATTACACTGTGACATGGACACTGCCAGCGCGGCCGTCAGGAGCAAACCGCTGGGAAGGGCACAGCTCCGTTTCTCGTGGCTGCCCTTCCGTGCAGTGGCCTCAGTCCGGTCCAGGTTGGGCAGAGCTGTGTAATCACTTCGCTAGCTTCCGTAAGTTTGCCACCCAAGGGCCTCACCACTAAAAGTGCTTCAGAGGAAGTACGTGCGACGAAGTTAGTGATGTAGCAGGAATAGGCTTAAGGGGAAAAAATGGGCCTAAGAATTTGGGAGAAGAGGGGGCATCTGGCTGGCTCAGTCAGTAGAGCGTGTGACTCTTGATCTTGCTGTCGTGAATTCAAGCCCGATGTTGGGTGCAGAGATTACTTAAACTGTCGGGCGCCTGAGTGGCTCAGTCGTTAAGCGCCTGCCTCTGGCTCAGTCATGATCCCAGGGTCCTGCGATCGAGCCCCACATCGGGCTCCCTGCTCGGCAGGGAGTCTGCTTGTCCTTCTCCTCTGCCCTTCCCCCTGCTTGTGCTCGCTCGCTTGCTCTCTCAAATAATCTTTTAAAAAAATGAAAATAAAAAGTAAACTTTAAAAAAAATTCGGAAAAGTTTGAAATAAGATGGGTGAATACCAAACACTGTGACAGACAGCCACCTCTGGGAGTGACATTGAAGTCAAGCACTAAGATGAGCCAGTGCCAGCCCTCGAAGTGTGGGAGTAGGGGTCCGGGGGCGAGGTATGCAGAGAGAAGAGAGATCAGAGTGTCCCGGGGCTGCTTCTGGAGCCTGAAAGACCAGCGTGGCCGACACAGGAAAGGCAGGGGTGGTAGTCGGCTTGGGCTGCCCTGATGAGCTACCAGATGGGAGGGGGGTGGCTTACACAGCAGAAGTTTCTTTTCCTCCCAGTTTCCGAGGCTACAAGTCCCCAGATCAAGGTGCCAGCAAGGTGGGGTTCCTTCTCAGGCCTCTCTCTGGGCTCACGGGAGGCCCCATCTTGCTCGCGCTCCCACGGAGCCGCCAGCCTCACTACTCTGCGCAGTCCCAGCTACTCCCCAGAGGCTCCGTCTCCGCAGTGATGTGGGGGCGGGGTGGTTAGGGCTCCAAGATCAGAATTTGGGGGGCCACAAGTCAGTCCGTAGCAACAGGGTCAACACAGGTGAGGGCTCAGGGACTCGTAGAACATCGGAACGGGAATATAAGTGCCTCAGAAAACGTTGCAGAGGTTCGGCGCGTGGCGCCAGGGCTGGCAGTGTCCAGAGCCCTGGAATGGGCACTGGTTTTGCAAAGGCCAGGCTGTCTCTGCTGCCCACACAGATTGCGGAAAGCCCCCGGGCCAGTCTGTGCGCCAGCATCAGGGATGTCCTCTGTGTCGCTCTGCTTGTTTGGGAAGTCGGAGATTTAGGTGTGTTGATACGAAGGAGGAGGCAATTAAGCAATGTTCCCTGGCAACGGATTTCGTGGCACGCCGGCTAGACGGGCAGGCGCACCCAGCAGCTGCCGCCCAGGGAGAGAGTGTGAGTCCAGACAGCTGAGAGCCCGGGAGCCGGGCCGCTCGTTGCTGACCAAGTGCACCTTAGACCGAATTCCCACTCACCCAGCTCTGGTTATTTGGTTTTCTCCGTGACAGTCATCCTGTGCATCGAAGGGCTGAAGGTGGGGTAAGATGACTGGTTTACACGGAACACATTTCCGGTCTGGGTGGCCAACCCTGGAGCCCCGGGAGCCCGCCCCGTCAGCTTGCTCCTGGTAGCTCCGACGGCAGAGCCGGCCGGTAAGCAGGTGCTGGAGGGGCAGGGAGACGGGTGCGGCCAGAGCCGAAGCTGGCCTCGGCTGCTGTGAGAGACAGACCGCTGTGTCTCCGACCCTCTCAAGCAACGCAAGGAAACCTAACATCTTAGGGGCTAGCATGCGTCCTATGCTAACGTAGTTTCAAAGCACATATCCCGGGCCCTACCCCACACACGCTCCCGCACCCAGCCGTAGTTCCAAGCCGCACGCTGTCCCTCAGCTCTTCTGCTCCCGCCGGTCTACAGACTGTGAAGCTGCCACTGCTTTGAAGGAAATAAAAAGACCCACAGCAGGGCACCTGGGTGGCTCAGTGGGTTAAAGCCTCTGCCTTCAGCTCAGTTCATGATCCCAGAGTTCTGGGATCGAGCCCTGCATCGGGCTCTCTGCTCAGCGGGGAGCCTGCTCCTCTCTCTCTCTGCCTGCCTCTCTGCCTACTTGTGATCTCTGTCTATCAAATAAATAAGATCTTCAAAAAAAAAAAAAAGACCCATAGCATGTGGCTTTCCAAGAACGTCTCCTCTCCAAACACAATATAATGAAGCAGCTGAAAATGCAAGGTCCGGAGCCCAGCTGGGGTTGAAATCCAACTCTGCCATGCGCTAGTCCTGTGTTCTTGTGTGATTTACTCGTACTCAAAGCCTCAGGCTCCTCATCCATAAGCTAAGGATGATGCTAATCCCTCTTGGGCTGTGAGAAATGGGAATGCGAAGGGGTGCGTGGCTGGCTCAGTCCGTGGTGTAGGTGACTCTTAATCTCGGGGTCCCGAGTTCAAGCCCCATGTTGGGCATAAAGCTTATGGAGAAAAGAAAAAAGGAAAGAGGAATGTCGGTCAAATACTTGAAACCGTCTTTGGCAATAAGTATCATCTGTTACTACCGTGATTGACGGGGACCCTCGCTGGCGTCTCTGACAAGATCAGGTGCTGTCCAGTGCATGCTCTGGCTGGAGGTGCTCGCGTCCCTGACCTTGAGAGCCTGCCTCAGCCCGGCTGCTCAGCCCAACGGCGTTACGCTCTGGGCATCGCTCCGTACCTCACACAGACACCTGCCACATCCCAAGTTTTGCGGAGCCATGATAGAAATCACATAGTTTCCCTACATCTCAACTTCCACTAACAGAATGGAAATGTTCAACTTGGGGTAGAAAATAGATTCTGATGCCTTGTTTGACTTTGTTCATTTATTTTTATTCCCTCAATTAAAATTACCAACTTTGACAGAAGTACAAATCTCCAGTTGATAGATTCAAATGTCGCTTTTTTTCTAGAAGCCACTCTGGGCCTGCTGCACAGCTCTCAACGTGGGGTTTCCCATCACTGCCCTCTTGGCAATTCCTTTCACCTTTCTGTGTTGGATTCTCCTCTTTTGGTCCCATTTCTTCCTTTTTGATTGTTTATCAATTCTAGTGGAGTCCTGTCTTTCAGCTGTATGACGGATTCATGTTTTAGAACTCACCTGTTTAAACATGTCTTTTTCCCACTCTCGTAGTTGTCTGACGACTCAGCTAGGTGAATTCTAGGTCATTTTCCCTGAGAATTTTGAAAATCCTTTCTCCATTGTCTTCTAGTTTCTAAAGTTATTCTTCTCAAGTCCAAAGAGCATTCGGATTCCTGAACACAAACTATTTTCCTTTTCAGAAATCTTTAGGATCTCTTTTCTGGAATTTCGGATGACGTGTTTGTTGTCTGTGTTGCAGGTTTTGTTTTCTGTGGCTTCGATAAATTGATGATCTTACCGTTGAGGGGGTCAAAGTCTGAAAGGAATCTCCCTGGGCTAAAATCAGGGTGCCAGCTTGACCTGGAGGCTTCAGTGGGAGAATCTTTCCTCGCCCTTCCCAGCAACTCGACGCCGCCCTCCTCGGCTCCCGGCTCCTTCGAATGCAGCAGCGTTGGGTGGAGTCCTCATTCTGGATCTTCCTGGTTTTCTCCTCCGTCTTCTTCTCCCACTTTTTTTTTTAAAGTGAGATATAACCGACGCATTATATTAGTTTCGGGTATACAACGTAATGATTTGGTATCTGTATATATTGCAAAATGATCACAATAAGTCCAGTTAATCTGTCACCATACAGGTACAAAAATTGTTTTCTTGTGATGAGAACTTTCAAGATATGTTGTCTACTTTTTTTTAAATTTCTTTTAAAGATTTTATTTATTTATTTGACACAGAGAGAGAAAGAGAGATCACAAGTAGGCAGAGAGGCAGGCAGAGAGAGAGGAGGAAGCAGGCTCCCAGCTGAGCAGAGAGCCCGATACGGGGCTCGATCCCAGGACCCTGAGATCATGACCTGAGCCGAAGGCAGAGGCTTAACCCCCAGAGCTACCCAGGCAACCCCATAACTTGTCTACTTTAAAATATGTGATGCAGTAGTAAATATAGTTACCGTGGTGTGCATTACCTCTTCATGACTTCATTTTGTAACTGGAAATGAATACCTTTTAAGTGCTTTCAACCATTTTGCCCATTGCCAAGTCCTCTTCAGGCAACTCCCAGTCTCTTCTCTAGGTTCATGAACTTGGTTTTTTGCTGGTTTTCTTTGGGGGTGGGGGGGTGTCTCCTTCAATTCCACCTGTTAGTGAGATCATGGAGAATTTATCTTTTTCTGTTTGCCTTATTTCATTTAGCATAACACCCTCAAGTTCTCTCCATATGGTTGCAAATGGCAAGGTTTCCTTCTTTTTTTTTTTTTTTTT